CACTGTTAAAAACTACCTTCATACTGTATTACAGTTGAGGTACATTCTTCGGAAAGTGGACCTCTGTAACTGATATATTTCTATAAAAAAAAAATTTTTTCAAGTAAATGTAGCTGGTATGCACTTTAGATTAAGTAACAGCTCTATCCAGTGGTCTCCAAACAGTGGTTTGGCCCTCTGCAAGGGGTCACAATATAAATTGAGGCCATGAGACGATTAATGGAAGCAAAAAAGAAAAATACTAAAACTTTAATATTTTTCAAACCATTTTGAGACCAGTTATTAAAAATTAAAACACATTTCAAGAAAACTTGTGTGCAGAGGTGGGAGAAGTACTCGAGATGTTGTACTTGAGTAAAAGTAGAAGTACCAGATTGAATACTCTGTTGCAAGTAAAAGTCCTGCATTCAAAATGTTACTCAAGTAAAAGTAGGAAAGTATTAGCATCGATATAAACTTAATAAAGTACCAAAGGTAGAAGGACTTATGGTCCATTTAAGAATAATATATATTGTATGTTTTGATTATAATCATTGATCATTAAAGTGTTCTCAACGCTGGTAAAGGTGCAGCTTGAATGACTTTGTAGGGTACCTTGTGAATTTACTCCAGGTGGAACTAAAGTCTGATTTAAAACTTGATTATATTTCACATCAATAATCCAAATCTGTAAAGTAACTAAAGTTATTAAATAAATGAAATGGAGTAAAAGAACCTCAAAGTTGTACAGTACTTGAGTAAATGTACTTAGTTACTTCCCACTTCTGCCTGTGTGGTAAAATGTTAATCTAAAAATAAATGTACAAGTATAGAGTGACATGAAAATGAAAATCCACTCAAAAGCACACTTAAGGGCAGTTCTTGAGTAAATGTACCTACATTATATAAAATGATGTAATCACATAACAGCATAACAAGTATAATAGAATACATGCTGAATCTGCTTCCCAAAATAACATGCAACAACATCACGCTTTTCTTTGTATTATCTTGGGAAATTCTGAGTGTTCCTCTCTGCGGGACAGATTGTGTCCCTGCTGAATTCTGCGAGGTAACAGGGAGCGGCTGCAGATCAGAGGAAGTGTGATTAAATCTACTCCTGTACCCTGGAGGCCAGGCTGCAACGGAGAGAACGGCTAGACCAAGTGCGCCCCCTGCAGGGAGAACAGAGCACTGTAACTGGCTGAGGAGGAGGAGGGGGAGGAGGAAGAGGAGGAGGCGTGGGATGCTGCTCTTCTCTTCAGCTCTCTGGAGATCTGGAGCCAAGACAGCGGATAGCAGCAGCATCCGTACAGGCAGTCGCTCCACACGCTCCCCTGTAAGACACACGGAGAGAGGCCTGAACACAGGTGGGAGGCTCGGGCAAAAGGTTAACATTAGCATTCAGGTGCAATAAATACATTTGACTGATATATAACGCAGCAGATATGTGTTTCATTCTGCACGTTGTACTCTGGTATGAGCTTATACTCACCTCTATTTTAATTCAAAGCATTACTCAAAGTTACATTTAATTAAAGAGATGACTTGTGTCATAGTATACCACCTTTATTTTAGTTTTGCAGGAAAATACCAAATTAGGTTACACACAGTTATGAGATATAAAATGTAATGTACAAAAATGCATGCTGTAAATCAATAGATGGCAATGTATTTGTCAGTGTAACAGTAATAATCCTGCTCTTCCTCCCTCTGAGGATTTCTGGCAGCCAAGTCTTGGCTCTTAGCAACAAGAGCTGTAAGCAAAGTTGGAAATGTTGGTGGGTGAGATTTGATAATCGATAAAGTCATCACGAACACAGATCCTATCATTCCATCTGCAGCATGTGCACGTTCCTTTATGACACTGAGTCAGCACTTATACTTAAGACAAGTTTATGTATTTGGGTCCACGAACTCCAATTCCCAAGACAATTTCTACCACTGCAAAAACACTCAACAATAATAACTCACAGATAATCAATCCACCCATAATAATCCTTACAGATTTAAGGATTTGAATGCATCGTTTTGATCTGATACAACTATAAGAGCCATAATATACATGTATATAATGAAGATTTACACACGTGTGCGACAAACCTGTTTCTATTCAGTAGCACAGTTCCTCCCAGCTGCTCTGCCTCCATGTGAATTGAATGTGGGAGGGTGACATTTAAAACTACAATTATCACTACGCACATTACACATTTGTGGATACCAAATATGCAAACAACCTTATCACAATAAACATACTTTGTTATCATCTTAACGAAGTTTGGATGAGGTGTTGGAAGGATTTGATACCTTGATGTTTCTTCTGACCACATCAGCCCCATCTTCATCGAACTGCACTGGTTCCCTATACAACACTGGATTGAGTATAAAAACTTGCTGCTCACATACGAAGCCCTCCACAACCCGACCCCCC